GTTCATTATAGACTAATAAATTTTTTTGGGACCGTTTTACTGGTCTGGAACATATTAAAGGGGCAAAACGAATGCCAGGATCGTCAACAGACTGATCAACGGTACAGGAATTATTGGCCAGTTCAAATGGACCTTCACGGCTATCCGAACTTGAAAATTACATAAACCATCATAACTGTGACTAAAATATGCAGGGTAGGGCAATCTGTAGTTGATTTTATCGCAGATCTGGTTTGGGAACTGAACGAACAATCACTAATTGAACAATCTTTCCAGTTCCGCATCGTGCTTCTTGAAAATGGTGCCTAATTAGCACACTTTTCATGGTGGTATTTGGCCTCGAAAATACTATTCGAGGAAAAACCGCTTCCGTCCAGCTGAGACCTGCCCTGAAACCGGTCTGATTCGTAATAAATGGTTGTGTTCAATTCACAAAGCAACAGCTTTGAAAAGCACCAATTTTGCGTGGTTTTAATTTCGTGTTTTAGTATGGAAACGAAATCGGGATACTCAATAAATTGAACTGTCGCTTGCAGCAGCGACGTGTAGTATTCTCGTTAAAGAATAATGAAAATGAAACTAAAAATATAGCTGGGAAAAGATCGGGAATTGGAAAACAGGATTAATGAAAAGAATATTAGTAAACAATCTGTTACGATGATGGGTCGAGAAAAAGACAAATATTAGCCCAAAAGAAAAAGACAGAAATTAGTTGAAAGACGAAGGAAGAACAAGGGTGTCGCGGAAAACCCGTGAAAAGCCGGCCAAGAAGCCGTCACGAAGAAAAAAAGATGCCTTGCTTTGAAAGACAGATACACAGCAGATGTGGTGCCAGACTGAATCTGGAGCACAAGGACCGGTAGTCTTATATACGCCGCTTCGCGCCATTACATGCACCACCTAAAAAAGAAGGAAGGGGGGAGGGGGGAGGGGAGGGGAAGGAGGGTTATAATGTTGTCCAATGCATACTGATGTTCCTGTTTTTTTTTTTTTTTTGTAATGTATATCACGCATTACAATCCCCGAATCTCGGATTCCCGAGTGGATGCCATGAGAACTAGAGATACATTATCGCATCGTAGATTCAGTCTATGAAGAGAAAGTCGGCGGGTGGAAGGGTGGCTTGGGAACAGAGAGTCGGATCTCTGTCGGAGGCTCGATCTCTGATGGGAACGTCGCTTCTCGACATCCGCGAGGAATGTCATCGAAAGATGGTTCAGCATTTTATGTTAATATTTTGGCCGATCGGGCGAAGCCTTCGCATTTGTATTATCGTATTGTAAATCATCAACAAGGATGACAGACAAGAGATGGCACCAACGAAATTTTGAAAGAACTGAAAGGTTATCGGCGAGTTGAACTGATCGGCTGTGCCTGTTGCTGAGCGCCTATGATCAAAGTCAGTGGCAGTGGTCTCCGGCTAAACCATTGCAGAAAGTTCTGAATATAAATCAGTGGTGAATTTGCAGCCGTTTCAAAACTGTATCAGGCAGGCACTATAAATCAGTATATCGATTTTGCATCTTTTTTGATCATGTACAATTTTCTTCACTTGTCTGTTCTACCCAAACGCTTGTTTGACTTGTTTGGTGAATAAACATAATACAAAGACGGTAAATACATCTCCTACATGATGAATACATCTCTAAAAAGCACATATTTCAAGTTATTATATTCCCTTCTGAAAGCCGAAACCGGGCGGTTTTGGTGGTGTCGTAAGCGTCGTTGGACCAGTGATTGGTTCCGATGCCAACCGACCACTTCGTGGGCCAGGTTTTGGTCGTTTGCCTGCTTTGAAATCATCCAGTATATCGCAGATATCTTTTGGTGTTAAATCTTCATAATAATCATCATTTATCTGAAAATTTTGCGTGAAAAAATTAAGCTAATGGTCCCAAGTGTTTTGGAAATTTTAAAAAAAAAATGCAAACTATGAAAGTTTGTTTGGCACTAAAGGCCCGCCGATGAGAGGGACACAGTCGAATATTGTCAGTTGTGGGAAAGCAAGGAGTGCTAATTTTAGATACCCAGATAAGCGAGTCTGTATGTGCTTTAGCTGTTATTCTGTCTGTGTTTCATCCCCTAACTGTAAACACAGACGGCAGAGCCGATGCGAAAACTAGTGAAATGCAAAGAATGCTCAAACAGTTTTATCGCTGCTGATTGTCAAAAGTCAAAACTCTCTCCGTATTCGTCTGCTGTGCGAAGCAGAGGCAATAATTATGTGCTGGTTGCGCTGATTACTTATATACTGACTGCGGTGGATGTAAAACGTACCTGAACCATCGGAGCATTCACACATGCGCCCAGACATTCCACTTCGGCTAACGTAAATAAGCCATCTTTCGTCGTCTCACCAACTTTGATGCCTAAAAATAACATAATATACAAACAATGCATTCAAATCAACATCATTATCATCATGTATTATCGCAATTGTTATTATGATCAAAACATCAACAAGAATAATGATTTCGCTCTGGAGAATAGAAACCACAATAATAATAATTTATAATTAATAATAATAACGGACAATAATGGGACTAAAAATAATAACGACAACAAAAAACTTCGCGCTTTTTAAAAAAAGATAAATTTTGCAAAAGTGTACAAAAATTTCGCAAAAAAAACTCTAATTTTTTGAATTTCGAAATCTGAAATTTTCAAGTTCCCAAACCTGTTCGAAAATTCCAATATTTTTTGATTTTCATATAACCACTCATGCGAGGAGGCGTAACCAGACACAC